AGCACCTAATACTAAATGGGTTTGTAACATTTTAGGAATAACCCCATGTGTTTTTATAACAGCCTTTAATGAAACCTACGAATTTTGCATACAGGTTATAATAGTTCCCCGGATTATTTATCATTCTGAAGAATATATGTATACACAATACCAAAATTCAAAGTTGGTGAAACGAGAACCCCTCACGGCACTAACAGTAGCCGTATTGCTAGGTATAGGAGGGGCTGGATTAGGAACAGGTGTAGCATCCTTAATGAATCAGCATCAGGGATTCAGAGAGCTTAGAATTTCAGTAGATGAAAATTTAAGAAGAATTGATAAATCTATAAAAGACCTCACAAACTCCCTAAACTCGTTGGCTGAAGTAGCCTTACAAAACAGAAGGGGATTAAATCTATTATTTTTACAGCAAGGAGGCCTGTGTGCAGCACTTAGAGAAGAATGTTGTGTATATGTAAATAAAAGTGGAGTAGTAAGAGAAACCATGGCTAAATTACGAGAAGGACTGGAAAAGAGAAAAAGAGAGCAAGAAATGCAACAAAGCTGGTACGAATCTTGGTTTAACTATTCTCCCTGGTTAACAACTCTAATATCTACTATAGCAGGACCGCTAAATTTACTAATCTTAGGACTTATGTTTAGACCTTGTATTTTTAACAAAATCATTAACATTGTGAGAAGCAGGTTAGAAGCAGCTCACCTTATGCTAATACAAGCCAAATATGAAGCCTTAAATGGGGAAGAGACAGAAGATTATTTAGAGTTAAGTAAAAGAGAACTACAAATATTTAACGAACAAAAGTAAGCAATAGAAATAGGGGGGAATTGTAATAAATAGAGACCCTTTTGTTCGCCTAAACATGTAAGATACGATGCTTTACAAAACTATGCTTTGTGTAATAGGGATGAGGTTGAAGGCTGCTACTGACGTCTGTATAATTATAAGAACAGCCTTGCAAGCTCTCTTGAATTCCAGAAAGTTAAGCCACTCAGATAAGCCTTAAAAGGAGAACAGTGAGGAAAGGTCAAAAGAGGAAGACTCCTGATCTTCATCCTGCGACCACCAGAAGGCAGAAAGCAACCACCAGTGACCGGAGGCACATGCGCAGAGACACCCGAGAAAGGACACGTAACCCGGAGGTCAGACCACTTAAAAGGGAGAACACGGAAATCAGAAGCGCGGCAGCCGAAGGAGCAGAGACTCCCCTGCCGCCCAGCGCTGATTTTTGCTTATTGCTTGCTTGCTGTAATTAAAAAATTTTTTTACCATATCACTCTCTTGAGTGCGTTCATAACAGTATGTTCTTGTTTCCCCCTGTTGAGTGTAATGGTTTAGCCCCAGTTGTCTATTATATAAACCCCTCCCCTTTTTCCTGAATGTTCTCCGTCCATCATCTTTACCCTGCCCCATCTCCCCATCCGTCATTGTAAACCCCACCTCTCCTTCCAGCTCCTTCCATGTACATCACCCCTTCCTTGACAGTTTATTGGTTGTCATGTTATGTTCCCGCCTTCTTTGTATCCCCATTGGTCCCTGATATTGTAACCTCGTCCCCTTACCCCTCCCTCTGTGAGCTCCAATTGGACCCTGGACTGTGCCCACCCCTGAGATAAAACCCAGTGCACAGAGGTGCTCTGGGCTCTCTTCGGTGGTGTTTTGTCCCAGGCCAGGTCCCGTGCTTATCCCCTCTCCCTAATAAACCTTTTCCTGGGAAGTATCACCAAGTGAGTCTCCTCCATCCTTCTGCCACCACCCATGACGCCTGATCTTGCAGAGCCCGGCAGGAGTCGGTGCTCTGAAGGGTCTGCTGTGGGATCACCATTCCCCTGCAGTTCTCTGCTCCTGACGACTGCCCGTGCCGGAGTGGCACTGTAGAGCTAGCCCAGAGCTCCGGTGTGGCCAAGAGCAGCGTCAGATATGAGTTGGTGTTGCTCCACCAATTCCGGTGACAGTGCCTGAGGCATTAGTCAATGGCCAATCAGGAGGCCAATCCTTTTGTGGAATTCTGCCTCAGAATCCAACAGCATTCATTTATTTTTTAAGACAATTGGTCCTGGTCCAGTGATGTCCACAGCACACAATGGTTTTTCTGTTGTCAAATTTTGAGCAAATGCTACCAAGGGACTTCCTGTCAAACTAAATCCTTCTTCTCCCCTTATTCGGGATCGTGCCCTGAGCACAGCTGCTGTGAATGGAACCAATTGGGCAATAACACTTCCTATTGGTAATGTGACAGGGGGATTATGCACTTGTACCATTATTCCAATAGGCCCAGTATCATCTGCGTCTATGACTCCGGGGACCACAAATATCCCTTGCTTTGTTGCAGAGGATCTTCCCAATAACAATGCTGACAGTCCATATCCTAAAGGTCCTGTTGCTGTTTAAGGTACCATGTGCACTTGTTTGTCATTGATTATTGTGAATTTTCCCATGGCCAAATCGACTGCTGCACTTCCTTTTGTTGCTGCAGTGAGTTCACTGAGACAGCCGCTGCTGTGGGGTATTTGGATGTCATTGCGGCCCCCATCTTGGTGCTCGTCTTGTCATTTCCCAAAATTGGGGTACCGTCCTTTTTAAAGCAAGATTGACATTCTGCAGCTCGGTGACCAAACCTATAGCATTTGTGACATACACCTCCAAAAGAGGAAGCCTTAAATTCCTTAGGTGTCTCACGCACCCTTTGTGGGCATTGTCGTTTTAATGATCTTTACTGCCACAGATGTAACGTCCTTGTCGGCTTGCACTGCGGTCTCCTTTTCCCTGTATATTTGCTGAGCGTAGAGCAACAGCCATGGCTTGACCATGAATCTTTGCTTTTTCTCGTTCTTCTTCTATCTGTGGCAATCAAGAGCAAGCTTCAACCATTTTTGCCAGGGAAGGTCCTACTGGGAGTGATGCAATTATCTGTTGATACTTAGAGTTGACATTTTGAAAAGCTAAGTCCTTGCCAACTGCTGCTTTTGTGTCTTGATATAGGTTTGGTGCACCCTCTAGAGCTTCTTTGAGGTGGTCTGCAAAGGATATAAAAGACTCAGTAGGACCTTGCATCACCTTGGTATAGGGGCGAACAGGTTTTCCTATTTGTGGAAGCTCTTGTAATGCTGCCAGTGCAAGAGCCTGTGATTGCTGTGTAATTCGTGGGTGAAGAGCAGCTTGAGCAGTGCTGTCAAGGTATGCTCCAGTCCCTAAGAGCTGATTGAGCATAGCTAACTGCAACGGGTCACCAGGAGCGAGTTGAACATTATTCAACTGAGCTAATTCCAGTTTTTCTCTCTACTTGTCTTTAAACATCATAAATGCAGTCGGAGGCAAAACTAACTCCATCAAAGCCCAAATATCAGCTGGAACTAATACCTGATTCTTAAAAAAGGATGATACAAGGGTCATGACTTGTTTGTTATCATAACCATAATCAATTACAGTCTGCTGCAGGTGACTGACAGTTTTCCAATCAAAGGGTTGCTATTGTTGACCCCCAGTCATATATACTGGCATAGCTGTGATACTTCCTGGGAGCATAACCCCTTCAATCACAGCATTTTCAATTACTCCTTTCCTTTGATTTTGGTTGTAATCAGGATCTTTCAAGGATGGATCATCCATGGGAGCTGAGCTAGTGGGAAGTGATATGTTGAATGGGGGTTCTTTGGTCTTACTGCTTTTCCATCTTAGCCAGGTGTGGAACCGCCTAGTGGCTCCTGTCTCTTCCTTATTGTCTATCATCCGTTTTGACCCCAAGTCAATGACAAGTTTTTCCCAGTGGGCTAGTATTTCACTCTTTTCACTTTCCAACAGAACTCCCGTGGCCCCAAATTTAGATTGTAGATAATTTTCTGCTTCCTCGATGGACATTTATGCGTTCATAAGACAGTGTTTTACCCATCTGCATATTCGTCCCTGGTCTTTCCTTTGCTCAGGAGGTGCCTCAGAACAGTGGACAGTATTAGGTTTATCGGCATTACTTGGGGGTCCACAAAACTCCTCCTCTACTGCCCTTAGCCCTTCAATAATTGCCTCATGAGCTTTTTTATATGCTTCTTTAACTGCTCACTTTGAGGACCCCTTATCAAGTCTTTGCATCTCTTTTAATAACCTCGTCATTTTTTTATTTTGTTCTTCCAGCACCTCCTGAGAGACAGCATCACAGAGGTTGGGATATCGAGCGGCGTCTGAGGGAGCGTGATTACCAATTTCGCTTGGTTCTATTTCCATAGGGAGAGACGCATTCTGGGCTCTTATGTCCTCTGTCTGCATACAGCAGAGGAGGTGCTGATGAGGAGGAGCAGAGGCCTCCCAGGGACTGGGATCTAATTCATTTCCTCCCCAGACTTCTTTTTCAATCTGGGAGACAGGGAATGCAACAGGGGGTGCTGGCAAATCAGTGAGTAAAATCTTTTTCTCTCCTTTAAGCTCTGCTTGGAAGCATGATTTACTGCCCTCTTCACTGCTGCACTAACTTTTGCTTCTCCTTGCATGTTTTCTATCATTGTTTTTACTGTCCACCAGACAGGAGCCAACCTCTGCTTCTCTTTGTTTACAACAGTAGCAGAGTCCCACAATTCAGTACCAATATGGTGCCATGCTTCTGTACTAAATAACTGACCTGACTCTTTTAAAACTGTTCTCCGCCGGCACCAACATAAGAGTGCCATAAGGTCTCCTTCCAGCAACTCAGTTTTAGTTCATTTAGTTAGCTGGAGCAGGCTCTGTACAGCTGCCTTTTCTAGTGCTGATGCAGCAGCTCCCATCCTGCCGAAACACCAGAGTCCCAATAACTCTGAGCACAGATCCACTCCCATCACTCTCAGACGGCCTGGCTTACCTCATCGCCAGCTGGCAGGAACCTTGCCTTCTCCCAAGTCCTGGTCACGTCAGGGTTCACCAGGATGCTGGGGTAGTTTTCATCATGCGAGCCAGGAATGACACGAACACAGTATGATGCATAAGTCGTACAAAGTTTACGTGCAGTTGT